ATAATAGACTCTAAAAGAGCACAGGGGACAAAAACAGTTAAGCCCTTGGATGCTAACTGAAAGGTCGGCGGTTTGAACTCACCCAATGGCTCCGTGGGAGAATGACCTAATGATCTGCTCCCATAAAGATTACAGCCAAGAAAACCTATGGGGCACTTCTACTCTCTAACACATGGGGTCACTGAGTCGAAAATCAACTCGACAGCACCCAACGACAATAGACTTTAACTTATTTGCAAGACCCAGGCCCTTCCAGGATGGTTAACCAGGCTTTGGAGCTGGCTGTCCGCCTGTGGAGGCCCTCCTGGATACTGGAGGGCTAAGTGGGGGAGAGTCCTGCCTGCCTCGTGGGCTGAAGCTCTGTAGGTTGGGAGGTTGGGGATGGGAAGCATTTCCTGCTTCTGAAGCTGCCTGGGCTCAGGGGCCGTGACTGGGTGACCTCACTGGGAATGCATTCATAGATAACTGCGGCTGACACAGGTGCAGACATTTCTGATAAGGAAGAGGAACACCGACAGGCCGGCCGGATGACAGTCACTCCATCTCAGCAAATGGGGCCGTCTTATCAAATGGAACAATCTGGAACATACATAGGCTGGAAGAACTGATCTCCGGCCTGTCTTCCCCTTGGCACTCAGGAAGGGTCTCTGAACTGTTAACTACCAGGCAGGGAGTTTGCCACCGAGACAGCATAAGCCATCGGTTGCCTAGATCACAGGAGTAATCGCTAAGTTCAGAGGATCAGGAGACGCTGTACAATATGAAAAACGTCCATAAACCCAGGAACCATTTTCATTAATATTAATACCTAGCAATTACTGACTGAGCAAATTCATCATCCGACTCCACGTTAAGCCTTTACAGACAGTAACTCACTAATCCTCACGTTAACCCTTTGAGGTAGGAACTGGTATAATTCCCCTTCTACAGCGGAGAAGAACAAGGCTTAGAGAGAGGCTAAGTAACTGCCCGCCCGTGAGAGGTGGACCTGAGAATTCAGTTTAGATGCATCTGATCCAAAGCCCAAATTCACTTCCAGACAGAGTCTCCAGAATAATGTTTGGTTGTGGAGCCCATTCCAAAGTACCCCATTAAGTAAGTTCCTTTAAAAAATGACAACAATCACCCCCTCCCTTCCTCACCCACACAATGACCTAATACACGGTGAACTCCAACAAGCATACAATGCCAAACGGCCACAGTCAATAAGAGATAGCACATGTTCTTACATCAAGAACTTCCTCTAAAACACTTCGGGAGCCAGGGCTCAGGCAAGTCATTTCCCCTCCCTGAGCCTCCACCTCCCCAGCTATGAAATGGACTGCGGGATGGGCGGTTGCCCCACCTCTCCTTCCAGCCACGGGCTATGGTTCTTAGAGCAAGGCTGCCAACACCCTGGACTCAGAGCTTTACCAGGGTGAGGGTCCCGCAGGTGCCGAGCCCTGAGCCCTTCCAGGTCGTGCACATGGAGGGCTGTGTAAGACAGCAGGTTCTCTTTAGAAGCCCCTGATATTTTACTTGCCAGAGCCAACTATCTGGCATCTCAGCTGGCGCGATGCTGATACATCACAAAAATATTTAAGTGAATTTAATTTTAGCTACAAATTCATAAACTGTTTCCAAACCTGATTTAGTAACCTGGCTTCCCTGTCAGTTGGAGTTTACCAAATGCCATGTGCTATTTGTAAAGTTAATCTTAAAGGCAAGCATGAAAACGTCAGGACTGAGTCTCGCCTGAAAGCCTCTTTAATAAAGATGGTATTATTTTAAACTTAACGTAATTACCGTTCCTTTCGAGTTTATGCCCCTGGACTTTGGATTTCAAAAGTCAAAATTTTTAAAAGTCTCTGTGCATATTTCAAAACGCAAATTTCACAGAAACACTGAAAAACACCCAGCTTCTTTTTCTCAGATGAGTTATCTTGTTCACTAGCCCAAACAGCAAACATGCATCCGTGACAAGCACTTTGTATGTCCAGCGTCTCAACCTCAAACGACTATCAGTAGACCTCCCGCAGAAATTGTACGTGATTTTGGCTAGCGCATCCTGGCCTATAATGGCACATGAAGATATAAATGAATAGGCCAGCTTCTCTGGGAACATACGGGAAGACAGCTGGGCAGGACCATGGAACATACTGGATGCAAGCACAAGGGCTGCCACTCCTTGGATCTCTGCCACTAAACAGAAGCACCGTGAGGACTTCCGTGTCTTGTATTTTCGGCGTTGCAGGGCTCAACAAAAATCCTTACAAGTGGACAATACACAACATCATGATAAATTCGAAGGAACTGAAGTTGTCAAGGATTCCATTCTTCTTGGATCAACAATCAATGCTCACGGAAGCAGCAGTCAAGAACTCAAAGACCTATTTGCATTGGGCAAATCTGTGGCAAAAGACCTCTTTAAAATCTTAAAAAGTGAAGATGTCATGGTCTTTTCAGTTGCCTCAACGCGTTCGAAAAGCTGGATGATGAATAAGGAAGACCAAAGAAAAACTGACGCATTTGGACTGTGTTGGCAAAAAATACTGACTATCCCATGGACTGCCAGAAGAATGAACAAATCTGTCTTGGAGAAAAGTACAGCCAGAATGCTCCTTGGAAGTGAGGATTGTGAGACTTTGTCTCACTTACTTTGGACATGTCATCAGGAGGGATCAATCTCTGGAGAAAGATATAATGCTTGGTAAAGCAGAGGGTCAGCAAAAAAGAGGAAGACACTCCAGGAGATGGATTGACGCAGTGGCTGCAACAATGGGCTCAGACATAGCAACGATGGTGAGGGTGGTGCAGGACCAGGCAGCATTTCATTCTGTTGGACATATATCTTGCTCGGAGTCGCAGCCGACTCCACAGCACCTAACGAAACCAGCAGGGCCTGACACACCAACACTTGTGGAATAAATTAGCTGGCAAGCCTTCGGCAAGACGGTTTCGCTGGGCTTTCCCCCCAGCAATAGGATGAGGATAGTAAATCATGCCCACTCGGATTTTCGCAAGCACCACAACATGGCAAGTTGGTGAATGCATTTGTGAAGAGCACAGCACTGCCGTAGTATTGGACATCTGTTCTAGACTGCTCTCCACATCTAAGGGCCCTGGTGGCACAATAGTTAAAGCATTTGGCTGCTAACCCAAAGGCTAGCAGTTCAAATCCACCAGCCGTTCCTTGGAAACCCTTTGGGGCAGTTCTACCCTACAGGGTCGCTATGAGCCGGAATTGACTGGACGACAATGGGTTTGGGTTTTTTTGTTTGTTTGTTTCTCTGCACCTAATACTGGGTCTGGCACATATTATGTGCTCGTTAATTACTTGCTGATAGACAACATTTCTTTCTAGTGAGTTTCACCTTCTGCATATTTGATGGCTTATTTATGTTTTCAGAAATTTTATTTTCACCCTGGCAAAATCTCTTTGGGATGCCTCTGCCCCTAAAGGCACCCTGTCTCCCCACGCACTCTCCGATGAGCCCTGCCACCCCCCACGTCTTCCTGCCAAACCCCAACAACACAGACGAGTGCACGGTGTTGATGGGATTCCAAACCTCACCAGGTTCAGCCCAACTTCTAGTGCTCTCCTTCCGGAATGGCGCCTGCAGCGTGCTCACACACACCTTCCTCTGCAAAGGACGGTGAACGGAGGCAACAGGGGCTGTCTAATACAATTGGCATTGGGATAAAATGGGAAATCAAAGCTTATTTTATGAAAAGGTAAATACCATTCTGAGCTTCTGTTCTTATGCTAGGAAAATTATTTGTCTCAGTGAACATACGTTTGACTTCTGTCACCGCTGGATTGAAAGCAAGCCCTCCACCATTAATGAATAGATGTGTTTTTCCCTCAGAAAACAACCAGAAGACCTATCTGCTACTTCAGGTTCTGATTTAGTGATACGTAACAGAAACTTTTAAGCAAGTAATTCTCAGCTGCCGTTATATCTATCCTGAGCTTTGCTTAAACAGCTCTTAATTGTTTCAGAAGCCATGCCAGCGCCTCATATCCTGGCAGCAGAGACAAAGAACCTCAAGATGAAAAATGTGACATTGTTCCGACTGATCTGCCTTCATCAGAAACAAGCAGAGAAACCCCCATATGCTAGGTGCCGCCCCCTGGGAAAGGGAAGGGCAGTGTCAAAGGCAATCTGGAGGGAATCCGGCTCCCTCCACCGCAATGTCTCTTTTCACTTCACCGTTTTACCATCTACAGATCCAACCATGTCACACGGACGGGGAATGACGACTAAGACCTGGTTGTCGGAAGAACAAACCCACACCATAGAGAACTGTCCACTGTGACTCTGTAGAGTCATAAGATGACAAGATGAGGGACACGACGAGAGGACGTAACCCTCAGGGTCGTCTGGGTTTGCTGGACAAATGTGCCTGCAGCCCGAAGCTGCAGCGATATTGCATCAGGCACTAGCTACAGAGCACCTATCAGACCGGCCGGAGCCGAGGGTGGCTGCTGCTGCTGCTGCTGCTTTCTGGGCTTAATTCAAAGATCCCGCTGGTCTTCTGCGTGCCTCCGGCCACCGCTGATGTACTTGGTCGGCCACCAGCGTGGGTAGCGCGCTGGGGAGGGCGAGGCACTCAGAAGGCTTTGGAGAATGCTCTGAGCACCCCACGCACCGCGCAGGGCGGCCCCGGCTCGCGGGCTGGACCCCGCCTCACACCTACACCCAGCTGGCGAACAGGGCAGTCCCCCGCATCCTTGGCCGACAGTGGCATTTAACACATTATGAGGCAGACTCTAGTCCCCGCTGGGGACCCGCGGGCCAGCGTAGCCATTACCAAGTCACGACCAGGGCGCTTCTAGCCGTTTGTGGTTGGATCGGAGGACACCAGGACAAGCCTTCACGTAACTTTCTTAACTCGCTGACACGGGTCTCTAGCACCGTCCCTCCGGCGAGTCCCTCCTCTCCCACCTCGGAGCGCGCCCCTCGGCGCGTCTGCCTCCGCGGCTGCCCGGTACCTGCGCGCAGGAGAGGGTGACATACCTCCAGCCGGCTCAGACTGGAGCTCTTGGAGCGCGACTTCTTGCGGAGATAGACAGAGAAGAACCTGCGCACCGTGAACTTCTTCATTGTCACGTCCATGCCCCGCGGCGGGGCCTCACGCTGGGCAGGAGGAGCCGCGGGGCCCGCGGGAGGCTCGGGCATCCCCGCGCCCGGGCGTCACCTCCAGGGGCGCGCGGCCGGTGCGC